TATATATATATATACACACACATACATACATACATATACCGGGACCAAACATTATCTAGCTTCGACACCGTATATACCAACCTCTGCCTCCACCACAGTCTCTCGGTAGCTCTAAAGGGAACTTTGTCGTGCCGACGCCCCGCCCCTTCGCGCCGCGCCGCGCCGGCGCTACGCAACTCCGCCTCGCTACCGCCCACGCCCTCGCCCGCGTCGCGCCGATGCCAGAACCTCGCTCTCTCGAGAGCGACGAAAAATTTGCTCTGGTATTCGAGAGGGAAAGCACACCTTCCTGTCAATGCTCCCTTTGTACTCGACTTCGTAATCGCGGTCGCTCTTTACGGCAACCTTTTTAAATATTCACTATAATCGTTTATTTTTGGAGAGAATGAACAATTTCAGTCGCAGTTTGCCTGCGTTTAGTGAAGTAAGTTCAAGCATTTTGGTTCATAGCTTTTACTATTGTTTTTTGCAAATACTGAAGCCTAAATTTGTGTTAAGACCAAGTCTAAAAGGGAAACATTTCCATCCTTACACAGTTTTGGGTGTCATATTACCACTTGATACCATTCCAATATGTTACATTATTATTATTCACTTTTTCAAGAGCACTGTCAGGCAAGAAAATATTAATTATCAGAAATAATGTTTTAATCTTAATAATGGATATTTCATCGGTTAAAAATTTAAGTGCTCTGATTGTGACAAAGTATCATTTTGGACAAGATTAATCAAGAAATGTGTGTGTGGGGGGAGGGGGTCTACAAGCATGAACGTGTAAAATATTGAATTGTAAAAACATACTTTTTATAAATTATCATTCTCTTTCGCATTTGTGCAATTACGAAATTTTGTTAACTATGAATATTGGCTATGTCTAAATAAATCTAACATGCGTTCTTATTTTACAGTTGCATTCCTACATTGGAGACCTTGCAATTTCAGTTGTACTGTCAATAGTCCTCTTCTTGGCCTTCGAATCACCAGTTTTCTTCCTCTTACGAATAATTTTTCCGAAAGGTAAGAATAACAAGTTCGTGTAGAACCCACGTGGGAGATCAACATTCTGATAAATTATTTTGAAGAATATTTCTGAAGAATATATAAAAATATTTATTTTTTCAGGGTCAAGAAAAACTACGAAGGTAGTGCCCAGCGAGAAAAATGCGCCACATATTACAGCCAACGGCGACCACCAGAAATAGACGCAATGTTTGGACGGAGTCCGTGCAGCTGGCCAAACAAAGCGAGCGTGGAGCTCACACAGCACTATACATCACTCGAGTGACATTTCACTCAATCTATATTGTAATTTAAGTAATTTAAGAGATGTGTGTAGGTTGATAGTTGTACAGTACAAAGATTTGACATGTGAAGACATCGTGTTTAAAGGACAAAGAGGAGAACTATAAAGTGAGACGTTTTAATATAGTTTTGTATAAAAATAAAAGGTCATTCGCAAAGAATGAGCTTGTAAAAAAAACATTGTGATGTTTTACAATCTTGTGTAAAATACACTTTTTGTTACATAATGTTGTCTTGATAGAAGCGCGACTCCCGACTGTCAGGAGAGTTGAAGGATCGCCACTCCTTTCCAACGCCATTCATCGGCTCCTCTCGGATTCATCAGCGCGTGAATCACACTCACTCACCCATTGCAGCGGCGGCGGTGGCGGCGGTGGCGAGCGGGGTGTGCCGGACCGACGCGCCGCGCCAGCGAACGACGGACGACGCAGCGACCGCCTGGAGAAGCAGCACGCCGCTGCCCCCGAACCGCTCACTTCCCACGAAGATTACCCCGTGGCGCGGGCGAGCTATCAATTAAGAACAAATTACCCCAACCACTTGCCGCGCCGCATCGTTCCACGCCAAGCGAGCGAGCGCGCGCGCGCGCGCGTCCTCGGACGAGCCGGGGCGGGGCGAGGAGAGTGAGATGGAGAGGGCGGGGGGGCAGGGCGCGCGCGGGGCAGACTCGCGGAAGCCATTGTACGTCGGCGGGTCGGAGAACGAGCCCGCCGCGCGGCAAGACGCCGGATTGCTCAGGGGGTCCTGGGCAAAAAATCCCCGCTCTCATTAATTTACGCGCCGACCGCTCTGGCGCTGGCCGCCGTTTCCCTCGCTTGCGCAAAGCGGCGGCCGCGGCCGCGCCGCGCCGGTCGACACGCGACAGCTCGCGAGGGGCGGCCTCGAGGGGCTGTAAACAGTACGTGTTGGGAGGACTGGAAGATCTGCGACGCCACGAATGTACGTGAACGTACACAAGAAACTCAGAAAGTTATGCTTTAAAACTAATCTGTTTTCATATATTTCTGTGTATTCAATGAATTTTTGAACCACCCCAATTTTTTCCCTTATACACCCTGTTGCAGTTCAATATTTTCTCTGGTTTATCTCGCTTTTCCCCCGGAATAAATCAGGCGCGGATGCACAGAGAGGGAATTAAGGGAAATTTCCCTTCTCCCTAAATTTTTTCTGTGACCACTTAACTTGTCACAAAACTTTCCAGCAAAAATATTTTTGGATAATCATTAAAATGAATAAAATCGTAATCGTATGAGCTTACTGTACCCTGCGACATTTTACAAAATATTTAATATAGTCGACCAAAACATTTTGAATTTCTCCTCCCAAAATTTGTCTCTAGATTCGCCTCTGGATAAATTAAAAATTATTTATTGATGCTAATGAAAAGAAAGCAATCGTGTAACATTTAAGGCTCTATAAATATTCAAATTTCATAATAGTTGAATTAAATAATTACAATGCCTGTAAAGCAGTAGGTCTATATAGTTTAATATCTTCCTGACTTGGAATCAAGGAAAACATCAAATCTTTAAACAAAAGAACAATTCCTTCAGAGTCTTAATGCTTACTCTTCTCTCTTGAATTCATTAATTATTTACTCTAAAGAGAAAAGGTATAGCAACAATCTCGACAGTCAATGCTGATACAATTCAGAAAAGGTTCATATTTTTATCATCACAGTCAGTTAGCTATTGGTTTTCTTCTTCCTTTCTTTTCATGTTTGGATGCACTTTTTTTTTTGTCGACATGAAAATTGACTAAGAAAGTTATTGTCCCTTTAACTACTAACTCTTTTTCAAGAAAGTTGGATTATTCAAATTCAAACAGTAAAAATTTGAATAGTATTTGCATATCATTATTTTTTTTCAATTATAACAGTGAAATTTGCAATATAGACACAGATGTATGAATCTGAAATACTTGAAGTACTGTATTGATTTCTTCATGCTTAGAAACCCTCCAGAATATATGTTCTTATCCAAATAAATATTTCCAATTTTTGCCTTCCCAAGAATATTTTCGAAAATTATTTGGGAATAAGTATTTTGCCGCAAATAATTTGTTTCCACCCTTCTGACGTATTCTTTTTTCCTTTGATTCCTTTTATATATTGAATTAAAGAAATTTGAATTTCATACATGTATATTTATATTATATTCTACCAATATGAAAGAGAATAATGGAATTTTGTAAACCTCTTCTTTCAAAAATTCACCTTCATAATTATCTCCATTGCTTCTATAATACATACAAATGTAAATGTGTGTACTCTTCACAGTCCTATGAATGTATGTGTGAATGTTTGACTGAGATATTTTTTTATTTGTGATAAATGGGTAATAAACTTATATTTTAAAATATTCCTTTTTGGTTTTTCCAATTGATATAGAATCTCTACCAGGGTCCATTTTAGAAAATTTAATCAGAAATAATTTAAGAGCATCTCCAAATCATGTCATATAGTTTTAGTTCTGTAAAAATTCTGCACTTAGGTCTTCAGTCTTACCGTTCATCTGTTGAGTAAAACAACAATCAACTGTGTCTGATATGTTACCCAATGATTTATGATGAGATGGTTTGTAATTGACTTGAGTAATGAATATTGAATAATGAGTATTGAGTAATGAGTATTATAAAGAAATACTTTCATAAAACAAATAAGAGCTTTAATGGGTTAATTTTAGTTGAAGAATGTTTACCATCCTGAGTTTTCAATAATTTTCATTGATGATTTATTATAAAATTCTTTGATTGCAATAGTGAGCAATGACAAGGTAGACATATACTGTCATGGGGGAAAATACTGGGAAAAAATTAATAGAAGCTGGTATTTCTTTCCTATAGAACATATTCTTCTTCATTTATGAATCTGTTTTCATAGAGGATGGCACGCAAGTTGCTGTGCAGAGTCAGTACTCCGCCATCACAGGAAAGAGAAACACGCAGGAGGAACTTCACTACATATGTCTCAATCTGTCATCCCACGCTTAATTTTCTATATTTAATAAAATTCTGCAAGAACATCTTCGCTAACAAAAGTATTTTGTGTGTACATCACAATAGTTTAACAAATACATTAGTATCAAGTAGTAGATCAGCCTGTGAGATAAATTGGTTATTCCATTGAGAAGAGGGATTGTTGAGCATTAATAATAATGAGTTTCACATGTAATTTCATTGAACAAAGTGGCAGAACTATATCTATGATTTGTATCTCTAAAAGAGATGACAAATGATGTTCAAGAAATGAAAACAGAAAAACAAAAAATACACAGCTGGGAAACATTTCCAGTTAATTCATCATAAAATCATAAATATGAACCCAGTATTCTATGGGATAGATTAGCAAATTAGTTTAATAAAACATTGTAGGTAGGTAACATAATAACCCCAGACTTTAGCATATCATAATAAATCTATATAATATAATATATCATAATATATTATTTCAATTTATAAAAGGGTTAAATATATGTAAGACTGTAATAACTGTACTTTATTTAACAAATGCATTGTGAAGGTTGTATGTCCGAATACTAAGTCTTAGAATTGAAAAGGAAATAGGCAGCATTGAACAGCCCAGAAGCTTGATATAATGAAGATCATGTACATACTACACATTTTCACTAAATCAGCTATCATGAAAGAGATTAGAGAGAAATTTAGAAACTAGTCTTACATTAATTGATCTAAAGCAAGGTTGTCCAACTGGTGGTCTGCGGTGCCATGCGAAAGGTTATTAGTCAACAGTGGAAGTCCCTTTCAACCATGTCGGGTGAGAACATTGACACCTAGCACACACGCCTTGACTGGGTCAACCCCTCCCTTAATGTAAAAATAGGTTAAGTTTAGATTTAAGATGTTTTCTGGTAAATTCATAAATCCAAAATCATACCAATGTGTTTCACTGCTTTATGCATGATAGCTTTATGCATTATTCAGATGTGGATCACCTGAATAATGTAAATTAGCCTGCAATCATATTAAAGATTTTAGTTCTGGCCCTTGAGACCTTGCAAGTTGGACACACCTGATCTTCAGGATCTGATAGTGAACACTGCAGATTCAGGGGCGGGAGTGGTATGGGGTCCATGGTCTCTGCCAAAAGGCTTAGAGATTTTGTTTACCTTCCCTTATTTGGCAAAATTGATTTAAAATATTTACTTTTTTTGTTATTTTTGAAAATTGATCAAATATTTACTTATTTGAATTATTTATTAATAATATTTTATAGTATCATCAACAGTACATAAATAATATGCAATATAATAACAAATATATTTATTATTTAACAAAAATCGACAATGTACCCTACCGAAATGATCAGTTGAATCCGCCCCTGATAGCGAACCTATATGTAAGCTGTCAAAGTACTCAAGATAAGTTTAATAGATAGGGCAAATATGAAGAGTATCAAAACATTTATAAAAACTCTGAAGGAATAATAAAAATAGAAAAAAAAGATCTAAACAGTTTTAAAATACCAAAAGGTATGAACAAAATGAATAAAACTTTATTGATACACTATCATTCAACAGTGTTCGTACACTATCAGTTCAACATTCAACTCTAGACTTAATTAATGAGATATTTGTTTCTCCTTTTTTCAGGTAAGTTTTTAATATTATATTTATATCTGATGTTATGCATCTTAGATAATTTTCCAAATTTTTATCAGACCGATGGATATGTATTGAATTATTTGTAATTTTGATATTGGAGGATATTGTAATGGATATGCCCATCCAAAAGCACTTACAATTTATTTTGCAAAATATCTTGTCTGAATGTAATATATGGTGAATATTGCAGGCTGTTGTTAATGGTAGTACATTAACAGGTTGGTTTATTTAATATTTTTTTGGTATACATACAACAAGAAATAAAAGTTTCGATATTTGTAATATAAAATCATCCAGTGGGTTGCACAATTTACCATGGTTGGCCTCATGTGGTTTGTGGACCAAGGGTTGGTCAGTCCCAGTCTTCAGCAATGTTGTTGCTTGTTTTCAACCTTAAAGTGTACTTGTAACAGTTATCAGAAATGAAGGGTCATGAAAAGATGTCGTACAGCACCATTTAAATATTGCCATTATACACGTGCTAAATTAATTACTATTGTAACAAAACATTGGATGGAATACAATACCAAAAATATCTGAAGCCATCATTAAATCACTGAAAACATATGGAGCAGCAACTTGTAAAATCATACAAAAAAAAACTAAGAAAAAGATTGAAGCTGTATACATGGACGTATTGAAAATTGCCTCTAGGGCATCCAAACTCAGATATATTAAAAATGAAGAATGAAGAGACAAAACTGCCAAGACAGACAATTCTTCACCTAATGAATGCAACCAGTTAATTTGGTATATCCATATCATGAATAGAAGAGGAAAGGATACCAAAAAATATTAATACTAATTAGGTAGATGAAGAAAGATGGGGAAAAAATTGCCAACTGGATTCCAGGAACAGAAGGAGCAATGGCTAAGAGGAGGCTGAATTAGGAATATTTCCAAGATGCTGAGTAGGCAGAAGGAGTGATGAGGCAACAGTTATAAGATTCCAGTTTGATGAAAAGCTAAACTTAACAACCAACATCTGATTATTAGAAACCAAGGGTGACCAGAAGCGGGGTGGGGGTAGGACAGCTGGGGCATGTTACCCCTCACCTCAACTTAATTGTGGTCCTGAATATCTTTTTATTCAAAAGAAATGAAAAATGTATTTATCTCTAATACAAATTTAAAGCTATAAGTTATTTCAAATCCATTCATGCATGGAGAAATGAATTCTGTTTATGAATGGGGGAGGAGAAGGAAATTTTTTGAGTGAAATGAGGGGCTCCCAGGATTAACTCCCCCAGTGCCCTTCTTTTTTTTTGAGCACCCTTATTTGAATTGTTCTGAAGAACATTGTTCTTCAGATTTTAAAACCAAGTATAATGTTTAAGTATTTGTGTTTGAAGGGTTGAATTGAAACTTTAATATAATGTGTTCCTATTAAATTATATTTAAAAATTCTGATTTCATGTTTGGCAAAATACATGGGCCCCTTATGAAATTTCTCCATGGGATCCCCAAAAACATAGTTATGACACTGATTAAATAAGTAGTTTTTAGTTAATATTTATCAATTAACTAATAACATTAATTATTGCTTTATTTTTAGAGATAACTTGTCACAGCTTCCCTTCCTACTGGGGGTTCTGTATCCAATAAATGTGTTAATTTACAATACCACTAAAAACAATTCAATAGAGAATATAAAGTACGGTACCTACTTAAAAACAATGGTATCAGTTTTCACTGAACAACCTAGGGCTGTATCTGACCTTGGCCTTGGCCTGTGGAAAAATTACAATTATTTAAACAACTATGCCTCAATAAATCAAATTTAAGCACTGGTGTTTTCTTTAGTATTTCTTAATCAATGCCTTGTGAAAGTAATGAATGAATATGAATTTTTGCACCTTGGATTTGAAACTGGTTAAACACCTTAGATTTCTTTTGATGCTAGGCTTACTTTAAAAACTCACAAAGTTGATGAAAATGATCAATATCCCAATAAAGAATCAGCATAATCAATAGTATAATGTGAAAGACAATAAGCAAGTTTCTCTCTCAATGAATATTGTTAAAACCATGATGTAACAAGGTTACATACATAACTATTAAAACCAACATCTTAAGAAGATGAACAAACAGATTTCACATTATCTGATCAAATAAATAAATGAATAAATAATAGCATGACTGAAAGAGAAAAGTAACAGAGATTAAGATAAATGGAACACAAAACACAATCATAGTTGTGGACACTGCAAGCATGCCTATGGCATCTTCAGAGTACCTTGTAGAGACATAGAGTAGTTCTGCCAAAGTGGTATGTAATGTTAGTGTGTCAAGTTTTCCATTATATGAAAATGCTTATTCTAGTAACATATCCTTATATTTAATAATTGTCATTAAAAGAAGGGTATATTGGGATGTGTTATCTACTTGCCCATAAAGAATTATGTGACATTTTATATGGGTGGTGAGAAAAAAATTGATGAACTGTTTGATTTGTTTAAATTAATTTTGAAGTAATTGAAGTATAGATTTGTTTCATTACAGTGAATTCAACCATGCATCTGTATATGTAAATATATTCCTTTCCATTTGTGAAATATCAACTTCTGAAATAAGTAACCAAGGACATCATTGAAAACTGTAATTAAATATTGCAGCCTTCTGTTGATGAAACTATACAATGAATCAGTCTTAATTACATTAAACAGTTCAAACCTATGTATTTTGCAGTGCATCATCCACTGCATCCTGTTGATATCAAAACAAAACGTGTTGGGTGAAGAATGAACTCTACACATGATAGATCTACATAATCATCAATTTACATTTAACAATATAGACCTTTTGTTCTTTTCAACAAGAAATTATCAAAGACCTGTACATCATGCTGGTCCTTACGATACAGGAGACTGAGTTGTAAGATATCAAAATACACCTTATTTGTCTTTTTAGTCACTTTTTTAAGATTATATTTAACATGACTTTGTTTGCTTTACTTCTTTATTGAAATATTATTACTTTCCTTTAAGCTTTAGACATGGAGAACTAAAACTCAATATTAAACAAAAAAACATAAAACTAGGGGAAAAAACATAAAACATAAAAACATAAAAGTAGGGCTTCACAGGGAGACGCACAAAGCTGAGAGCTGCTTAAAGCATGGAGTGTTTCCTCTCATCATTTGAGATTAAGAGTCAATAACTGCCACTTACCTAAATACACGATTCAATTTATTGTCTATCAGTAGTTCAATTATTATAAAATTTACTTCTGGATTATCTTTGTCACATTATTATGTCACTAATAAACACAATTTATCAAATACAATTAAAAGAAATTATGTTGGTAATGAAAATAAACTAGAGAAAATATTCAAAACACAGAACATTGAAATGCACAAATTGTCATCACCCTTTATTGGTTCTAGTTGACTAGTAAAACAAACACTACACATTCATAATCTACTCTGCATGCTTTGTTTTGGCAGTCTCTTTTAGACAGCAGTGACTTACTCTACAACTTCCAACAAAAATTCACTTATTTTAAATAAGCATCATCCAAGCAAGTTGTATAAATTACTATGCATGCTTATTTTGACAATGTATTACAATTTACTTGCATGGCTTTTCAGTGTTGTGTATTATCACATTTAATTTTCGGCTAAACACTCATTTTTATTGTGTGAATTACCATAGGCCCTACATTCTTTTATTAAAAAATATATGCATACAGTTTTTCTAAATAATAACTCTCTCTAAAGTTTCAAATTATATATGTATAGAAATATTCATAAATATACAGCAGGCTATTTATCCAACACATCAAAGGAAGTAAAAAAGCAGTCTTTCCATTTTTTCTGCAAAGAAAGTTATGATGATACAGCTCTACACACAAACTTTCTTCAATTTGATAAAACATATGGAAGATAATTTGACAAGACGGATAAGTGGACGGAACAATGTAAACACCACAGACAAATAACATACATACATTTATAGTACTGATTAACCTCACTTATCCAGTCATATCAATAATTAAAATAAGGTTCATGTTGCTTCTACTGGTAATGTTGCTCAGTTAGGAACATTTGAAACATCATTTCAAAATCTGAAATGAGCAACACAGAAATTAGAAATCCTAATTTCCTTTTGATCAATTTCAAACAATACAACAATGATTGATTAGGCCTTGGTAATACAGTTGTAATTTTAATTTTGTTACTGTGCGTTATCATAATTCCCACTGTTCATGGCTACTAACATCACAAATAACCTGGATAATTGAGGTTACACTTTAATACAGTACTTCCATCTTCTTAAGAGCTGAACATGTCAACTTTTGTGACTATCTGCAAACCCATCAAATTTAAGAGCTGAGGCGAGTGCAGGCATTGGCTGGGAGTTTTATCCAGGTGACTTGTGCATCCTCCCACCTGGGGACAATAAGTTAGATTACTATCATGAAAGATATAAATGCAATTAGGTGTCTATTTTAATGGCTAAATTTTTACAACATGAATCTCAAAATTTTGATGTTTGGAGATAATAACATTACCTGAAAGATAAGACTATCTTAAAACAAATTCTAACAACACATATCATAGAAAATAACTAGAAATTTGATAGAATGATAGAAATTGATCACATTTGCATTAGCTCGTAATGGAAACTTTGTAACATTTTCTCTCTCCCCTGAGAAGTCACACTTTTTGAGATATATGATGTTAAAATTTAGCAATTAATATACAAATGTTTTTTATTATATTTCATGACACCTCTAAGAGCTCTTTAAAACTTTAAAAAAAAATTGGACAGTAATGAAATGAGTAATATTATAATACCACTTTACAATATTTGAATTATTTATGAATTAATCTTTGATTGATAAATGTATCAATTAATCTATGATTGATTAATACAAATGAGCATCACCAGTAAACCATCATTGGTGCATAATTTCTTCAAAAAGGTTTCTTTCGTTTTTCTTTCTACCTTTCTTCCTTTTTTTCATATACAAAAAGAAGTGACACTGAGTTATAAAATTAACATTTAATGCAGGGTTTAACTGAGACAATTTTTTTGTTCTGGGACAAATAGGTGTCCTCCAAACTTTCCAAAAAAATGTAGATCAGAGCATCAAAATTTGAGTTTGCCCAAAAAAAGGAGGTTGGAAAGTAATGTCACAGGAACAAGTTAATAATTTGTTGTACTGCACACATGTGCGTACAATAGAGATGTCCAGAATGGCGTCACTTTTGCAGGAAAGTGTTAGGTGGAATGCTCTAGTTTGCGCATAAGCGATTACTACAAAATTAATACGTTTTTGGCTCTATTATGAGGTTGCTAAGATTTGTGTTTCTCATCAGATTCATTATTTATAAGGATATTTGCTTTCTTTTAGTTTGTTTGTTCTAGCAGCACATCTCATTCAAAAATTGAATTTAAAGAAGCAATATTCTACCAGACGTACATTAAGACACTATTCTTCATTTTGAAAATGGTTCCAAATATGATCATGATCTGAGCAAAGAAGCTAAGGTGCTAATTTATAATAAAATGAAATGAATAAAACATTTGGATTCATGCGCTGTTTCATTGGATATGGAAAGAGCCAATAGATTTCGGGCCGCTGTGCTATTAGAAAAGAGGTGACTCTCCCTGTATATTTTTATAAACTGGCGGATTTAAAAAAAAATTTAAAAAATGTATTAATTTATTATCATTAAGAGAAATATTACCTACATTGAAGTTTAATAATCGTTCGAAAAACATCTAGAATATTCATAATCTGTCTCGAAAAAGTTGGTAATTTTTTCTACAAGTGGAGGAACTTTCAATACCAAACTAACCAAAATTCGATAAAAATTAACGTGTTATATTTTAAATATTATGATCAAAATATAGTTATTTACAAATATAAATCAATATTACACTTTTTTATAATTAGTAAACCCACATTTTTACGATCCCGCGTTTTCCTGCCTTTTTACGTATTTTTTCGTTGGTCCCGTTAAAGAGCCAAAATTTATAATGCACACTCTTGCCACAATTTACAACGTCTTATTAAAGTGTTTCTCGACTTCTTTTGTAAGTTTTTTCCATTTTTTTAGATCAAGTCTGATTTTTGAATCAATTTCGGAAGAAGACGTCGCACGAAACCCGTGTTTTCAAGTAGCGTTAGCCGTTTCCTGTTATTTCCGGTTATATTGCATGTTTTGTAGACGTACGTACTAATAGTCTCGACTCGATAGGTGCTTGTTAAAGATAGTGGAGGCGATAATATGGAGAATAAGGACAGAAAATGTATTTCATTGAAAGAGAATGTAGAGATTTTGCGGCGTGTTGATGCGCGCATATGGGAACACGTGTTCAGTTAGCGAAGGAGTTTCAACTCTCGGTTTCCACGTTGAGCACTATAATTAGAAACAGAACTACCATTGAATTTAACGCAAAACAGTGTCGTGCTATGTCTACAAAAAGAAAATACCTAAGACCAACTTTCTACGATGAGTTGGACAAACTCATGGCGGAGTGGTTTACTGACACCAAAGCATCGGGTATTCCGTTTGATGGCAACCTTTGCGAAGTCCTCCAACTTGGAGCAAAGTTAGGGATTACTGAATTCACAGCGTCAAATGGATCGATCGCTTCAAGACCTGCCATAATATTGTTTATAACCAGGAGTGGGGGAAAGGCGAAGTGTTGGGGAAACCAACTCTGAATGGAAACATAAACTTGCCTCAATTATCCAGGACTTCGATAGAAGAAACATTTTCAATATTGAAGAAAAATAACTTTTTTATAACATTCTGCTAAGTAAAACATTGTGTTCCAAAGGTGAAAAGTGCCTTAATGGGATGTTCATCAGAGGGCAACTGTTTTGTTAATGGTGAATGCAGATGACTCGGAAAAATTATTACAATTGGTAATAGGTAAATTAAAAAAGCCAAGATGTTTTAAAGATTGTTCTTCAATAATGAATCTCAGCAATTTACCGACTGAATATGAGGCAAACAGTAGTGCATGGATGACCAGCAGTATCTTCTCCTCCACCATGCATTCTCTGGATGCAAAAATGGGAGCAATAAATAATAATATTTATTACTGCTAGATAGATTACCTGCACAACTCTGCAGATCTGCAGCTCAGAAATATAAAATTAGTGTTCCTTCCCCCGAATTGTATTAGCGTTCTTCAATCACTAGATCGGGGAATCGTTCATTCTTTTAAATGGAAGTACAGGAAAATTCTTGCTGAAAAAACTTTGTTCATGAATGATAATAGTCTGGATTCAAAGCCATATCAATTCTAGATGCCATGCATTATGTGGCGAAAGCATGGTTAAGTGTGACTCCCGAAACAGTTTCCAACTGCTTCCATAAGGCTGGAGTCAAGTTTGTGGAAGGCGAGAAATATGAACAGGAACATTTGATGGGACCTGATCTCTGGTCAGTGATGGTAGGATCTTCATTTGAAGATTATGTTTAATGTCGATGCTGAAATTACGACTTCAGTATTACCTACTGTGGAGGCGATAGTTTCCAACCTCTTGTAACAAGAAGTTAGCGAAGGCACGGATGCAGAAGTTGCTGTTCCAACAATTGAAGAAGCAACGGATGCAATCATTAAATTGAGGCAGTTTGTAAATGTATTAAAAGGGTAATATGAGTAATTTAATTATGTAAACAAGTCTTTGTAGTAAATAATGTAAGTACTCTCTTAGCCTGTCGTTTATTTAACTTTCCTGCATTTTACACTTTTTTCCATCGGTCTCCTGAAAATAGTAAAAAA